AACCAATACCAATTCAAAGTGGAGAAGACATGTTCAAATCCAAAGAGAGTGAAACAAAATTAGATTGATGTGTTTGCTTATTGTTTCATTTGTGGTATGGGTAAATTTTTATGTTTTTAGGTTATTCTTTACTTTTGGTATAATTGTACATGACTATTTTATTAAAAAAAAAAGTGAATGTTGCAATTCAAACCTATATGAGTTCTACATGTAAGTCAATGTTTATATATTGTTTATCGGGTTATCGCAGAAAAAAAATATTTATATACTGTTTATCTTATTTCTATATATACGTATAATAATCGGTTGTGTGCTAAAAAAAATATAAGTTTATATACTCTTTATATTATGTGTATATATATTCACAATAAACGGTGTGTGAGCTATTAAAAAATATATGTTTATATATCGTTTATCTTGTTTATATAAACAACAATAAACGGTATGTGCAAAAAGAAAAAAAATGTTTATATACTGTTTATCTTATGTTCATATATATTACAATAAACGGTATGTTTGCTAAAAAAATATATGTTTATAGAATGTTTATATTAGGTGTATATATATGTAGAATAAACGTTAGGTGTAAGATACATTACTATATAAGTTCTACATAAGTTAATGTTTATATATTGTTTTTGCTAAAAAAATATATGTTTATAGAATGTTTATATTAGGTGTATATATATGTAGAATAAACGTTAGGTGTAAGATACATTACTATATAAGTTCTACATAAGTTAATGTTTATATATTGTTTATCTGGTTACTGCATATCTAAAGTATGATTATGAACTGTTTATCTTATGTATATATATATACATAATAAACATAGTATAAGTGTATTGCTTATCCGAAAAGTGCATTTTGATAGGTTAACCTCATGGAAATCAAATATACAAAAGAAACAACACCAATATACCTTCAGAAGTTCACCAAGAAATAAGAAAAAAAAAAAAATGAATCACAACATAATTCCAAATAGTACCAACATGGTTCAACTCTCCATACACAAAAGACAAACAGTACTACTTCAAAAGGTAGGCATACTCTAACTAACTGATGTCAGCTTTGCACGTTCTATATCATCAAGCATCCAGGGGGAAATCATCGTCGCTCCCATCCGAATCAGACTGTTGTTGATTCTTTGGAGCATAAACAATTTTCGCCTCCACCCCTGTTTCTTCGAGCCCTCTTATACTTGGTGTCTTCGGTCATCTTTGTCGCTTTTTGTTTCATTTTATGCTTGGAGACAAAATCGTCGTCGTCCGACTCACCCTCGGCGGTCTTCTGATCCGAATTTTTGGCGCGGCTAGTAGGCTCTATTTTCTGAAATTGAAACTTTTTTTTTGTACAATCTTCCGCTCGGGAGGTTTAAATTGAGATGTGCGACGAGATCGCGAGCGAGTTATCCTTGCTTTGTCTGCACTTTTGGAGGGTTTATTCTCGATTTTATTTTCCTTTGCCATTGTTCTTCCCAGTTTCACCGGAAATTGAGTGCACTGCAAATCTGAGAAGAGAACAAAATTAAAATTTTCTGAAAAATATTGGTCTTAAATAAAAAAGGTGCAAGGACAATGAAGCCGGGCGAGAACAAAATTGAATGTCCTTATGTATAACTCAATTGGCCAATGCTCTACACTGAACCATAAATTAAATAACCCTTTCTTCACCCCCTAAACAACAAACATACTCAATTTTACCTGATCCTAACATAAATAATTTTCCTTCAAAAAAAAAAGAACAAAATAAAAGAAAAAAGGAAATTAATTCACTTAGTCCCAAACACTGAACATATACTTTTTTTCACCGGAAATATGGTCACTTCGCTACTGAGAGGGGCTCGTCGGAGAAGTTCTGGGTGAAACGTCGACCTTGGACGACTGCTCGGAAAGACGAACAGAGAATATGTTATCTCCGCCGGCGATGATGTAATCCCCTTGAGAGATGAAGTTTTTTTTTTTTTTTTTTTTTTTT